CCCCAAAACCCCAAAACCCCAAAACCCCAAAACCCCAAAACCCCAAAACCCCAAAAAGGAAACACAAAGTTGATTTCATTACTGATTAATTAATAGTTATCCGAATATGTCAAACAAGTCCTCTTGGTTGCTCTGAGAAGTATTAGGCTGTGCTGATGGTTGTTGATTCGATGTCTGAGGTTGAGATTGTCCGTAGCTATCGTATCCTCCATCATTTTGGTTCTGAGGTTCTCCTCCAAAGCCATCATTGTTAGAATTTTGTTGATCGTCTCCTCCGTAATAATCATTTGAATTATCAGGGGCTCCATACATATCATTTGACGAATAATCTTGTCCCCCTCCGTAATTATTTTGATCTGGATCATTCCCAGAAGAACCATAAATATCATTATTATCTCCTGTATCGTTATCCATCCAACTAGTAGATTCTTGAGCAGGAGGTCCTCCCATAGGTATACTACTTGAATTGTCTGCTACACCTCCTCCAAACATATCGTTTGATTGTGAGGGGTCTGGTCCTCCGAATGCATCACCTCCTCCAAAGGCATCTCCTCCTCCGAAATTATCATTTCCACCGAAGGCATCTCCTGCTGAGTTTCCATAATCTCCATAATTATCATTTTGTTGGTCACCTCCAAAGGTGTTTGCTCCCATTCCTCCAAACCCATCATCAGCTGGGGGTGCACTGAATTGGCTGCTATCCCCACCAAACATGTTGTTTCTCTGAGGAGCTGATCCCATCTCATCTACATTCTTTTTGTAGCCAGTTACATAATCATCAACTTTATTGACTGGTTGATTAGTTCTATCTGATATTTTATCAGCCATTGAAAAGAGAGTATTGAATTCCTTCGGTCCTTCCTTCTTTTTGTTATACTTTGAGTCATTAGCAAACGCTTGGGGTCCTCCTCCTGGAGCATAGTTATGACCTGAACTATTATTGCCGAAGAGACTTGGACCAGAAAATGGATCACCACCTCCCATATTTCCACCAAATCCTCCTCCAGAAGAGCCTGGCATTGCTGTACTAAACATTCCAGGACCTGGTCCACCCATTGGGCCACCAGGTGGAGGTCCTCCCATTGGACCTCCCATCGGACCTCCCATTGGGCCTCCTGGAGGGGGGCCTCCCATTGGACCTCCAAACATGCCTGGACCTCCTCCAGGCATTCCAGTTGCAAACATTCCTGGACCTGGGCCTCCCATTGGGCCACCAGGTGGAGGTCCTCCCATTGGACCTCCTCTTCCTCCCATTGGAGGTCCTCCTGTAGCAAACATGCCTGGGCTTGGATTTGATGGTGGATTATTGTTTAAACTCATGTTCTTCATGATATCATTAAGCTTGTTGACATTGTCATCCTTGGGAGGTTCACTACTCGGAGCTGAACTTCCTCCAAAGTCTACCCCAAAAATGTCAGTCTCAGAAGATTTCTGAGATCGTTCTGGCTGAGATGGAGAAGGACCTGATGAAGAAGTAGATGGAGCTGAACTACTTCCTCCAAAAATATCACTCTGAGGAGCTTGTCTTTGTGGTGCTTGCCTCTGGGGGGCTGGCTTGGGCTTGGATTGTTTTGCTGGCTTTGAGGCTTCTTGGTATCCTGGAAGGAATTTTCTGCACTCGGGGTTAAATGCTTCGGGAGCTCTGCCATGTTCAACTTTTCGGTATCTTCGAAGGGTCTTTTGCAAGTCATCATTTGTTTGCAGAGCTAAATTCATGACTTCATCATTCCTAATCTTCTCAATCAACTCCATAATCTTGTTCTCAAACGATCTAACTGTCTGAATAAGGGATACTAAGGCCTCATTATCATCTACTTCATCTGCTAAATCATGAGCATCAATCATTTCATTTGTCAGAACAATATTCTCTACAACGACCAATAAATCCTTCTTCAGCTTCGTATGCTTTTTATCAAGCGGTTTCGAGGGAGCTGCTCCTGATGCTTCTCCTGATCCACTCTTGATTTTTGCTACTTCTGCTCTGGTATCATCTTCTTTGGGAAAAGGAAGCGACTTCTGCTTCAAAGCGTTGTAAACGTTAGTGAAGAGCGGTAGGACATCTGAATCTTCTTCAAACATCACTCCCCAGAACTGTATCAACTTCAGTATCTTTTTCTTAGTCTGCTGGGATACACTTTTATTGTTTAGCAATTGGATTATCACATTCATGAATGGCTTGGCCCCTATTTGGCTATGGAAGGGGAACCCACACTTTTTCATAAGGACTTCGAGAAGGAAAAGAGCGAGCAGCTGCACTTTCGTACTATTCTCAAGCATCCTCTCTTTGATAGCATTAGCTACAAGCTCCGACTTGTCAGGGTGCTTGTTGACAAAATCTCAAAGGGTTTTGTTCATTGCAGGGTCTGGTCTTGCAAGCTTCTCGTTCGTTGCTTTAGTTACCTCTCGCATTATCACACTCATCTTTTTAGTTGAGTTTATTTAAATATATTAAATACAATTTTCCTTCTTTTGTAAGGGGTTTTGGGGTTTTGGGGTTTTGGGGTTTTGGGGTTTTGGGG